GGCCCATTGGCCCGTTTTCCGCCTGTGGCTGTTCGCCGCCGCTGGGCGCAGCTCGAAACACCTTGCGCGGGCGTGGGTCCGCGCGTCGGCTGGCGCAGGACTCCTCCTCCTCCTCCTCCTCCTCCTCCTCCTCCTCCTCCTCCTCCCTCCTACTCCCTCCTCCTCCTCCTCCTCCTCCTCCTCCTTCTCCTTCTCCTCCTCCTCCTCCTCCTCCTCCTTCTCCTTCTCCTCCTCCTCTTCCTCCTCTCAAGCCAGGGCCGCCGCGCGCCGGGCCGCCCTCCGCGCGCATGCAGGCCTCCTCGGGGCTGAAGGGGACCAGCGTTGGTCTCTGCGGCTTGACGCGACGCCGTCTGCGTCGTAACACCGAGGTCTACTTCACCGAGCTCTTCCTCATCGCCCTTGGGTGGTGCATGCGAGCGAGGCTCGACTTCTTGGTGCCGTACCAATACGTCGGAGGTGACCTGGGCCTGAGGATCCATGAGTTCGTCAGGCGCGGCGAGTGGGACAATGTCCGTATCACAATACTGGGGGAGCCTTGGTTCGCCACCTTCCCCACCGCCGGGCAACTGGGATCCTCCGGAGGTGGTGCTCGACACGGAGACGCTCGTGCTGAGGGCTACAGCTCCCTTGACGGGCACAATACCGATGCCGCCAGCGCCACCTTCTCCAGCGTTCAGGCCGATCAAGATGCTCAAGCGCTGGACGAAATTCAACCCAGAGATGCAGGTCAGCGACGCCAAGGAGCAGAAGAAAACATTTGCGCTCAGCCACGCGGCGTACAAACGTAGGAAGCGCAAGGAAAAGTTCGCCAAAGTCAGGGACATGTACACGAGCAAGCTCTCCGAGGAGGTTCCGCCGAGCTCGGCACCACCGAGGGTCCTGGGGAGCGGCCAGGCCCTCGCGGCTGCGTCGAGTACTTCATTGGCGACCTCTCCATCAACGGGGACGGGGACGGCGATCATGGTCAACATCGGCGACATGAAGGTGCCTCTGCCTCCGCTCCCCATGATAATGAAGGAGGAGGGGAGCCCTCGCCCCATTGCGCGGGAGTGGATCTAAGCAGGTCCCCAAGCGTTGCGTTTTAATGGGGAGGGTTTGGGCTCGTCCCGCCTGGCACTCTGCACCTCGTAGAGGAGAAGACCAGGCCTGCCATAGACGGGCAAGAGTCACGGCTTCAACATCGACGCAAAGACGTTCATGCCAGGAGTTCAGTACACGTTGGAGGAGGATGACAATTCACCGATCGAGAGCGGCGTCGAGGCGACTTCGAGCCCACGTTCGACGACATCATCGATGGCAAGTTCGACAATTCGGAGGGCATCTTCCCGCCCGCCATCAGCAACACCGAGGGCGACTTCCAGCCCTCCTTCGCGGGCGACTTCGCGCCCATCCTGAAGAGTGACACCGAGGGCGACTTCCAGCCCCTTTCCAAGAATGACTTCGAGTGCAACTTCGAGCCCACCTTCAACTTCGACACCGAGGGGCTCGCCACGGGCGACACTACGGACCGCTTTGCGTCCGACGTGGAGGTATTCGGCGACCCCGACAAAAAGGGCCACATCGGGCCCGAGCAGGGCGGGAAGAGGCAGTACACAGAGGACCAGCTCGCGACCCTGGGCGCTGATCGTTTGGCGGTCCTGAGGCGCTTGGGCTCCATAGCTTGAGGATGATCGGCACGGCCTCCATGTACATCATAGGTCGGTGCATTGGCTACTTCATCAGCGTGGAGAACAATTTCGAGCAATTTTCGGTTCAACCCGCGCGTCTCAGTCCCGCGCGGCCGCCGCGATTAGGAGCCTGGGCGTGCGCGGCGCACTGCAAAAAAATCATCTTCTTCCTCCTCCTCGTCCTCCGTTCCTTTTTCCTTATGAATACCTCCTCCATCTCGCATCCCGAGGCCAGTCGGGAGGACTGGCGGGCGGCCCGCCTGATACATACTTACTACTCATGATCCTGAACACAAAAACTAGTAACAGCTTCATACATGAAGGGCGGGTCGCGTCCAAAATGTGGTTCCCGCCTTAGCGCCGCGCACATTCGTGTTCAACCTGTTGCACGAGCTTCACCGATTGAGGGCGGGTGGTCTTCAAAATGTGGCTCTCGCCTTAGCGCCGCGCACATTCGTTTCAAATAGTTCTTCTGTACGAATCTTACGGATTGAGGGCGGGTGGCTTTCATAATGCGGATATCGCGTGAGGTCCGCGCATATCCAGTTTTAAAATTACAAACAACGTCACGGGTTGTGGGCGGATGGTTTTCAAAATGTGGCCCTCGCCTTAGCGCCACGTGCATTCATGTAACAAATTGCAAGCATTGCACGGCTTGACGGTGGCTCCTTTTCACAATGCGGTTTCGCCTCAGCGCCGCGGGCATTCGTGTTATTTCTTGCAGGAGTTCCACTGGCTCGCATGGCTCACGTTCCAGAAAGGGTGTGTTGTAGCTATTCAAGATTGTCAGGACGCACCAGTTACATAGACTCGCGGCTTGAAGTCCCAGGAATGGCGGTCTGGCAAGATTCACGATCGTTCAGACGCGACAGAAAGGTTGACCCGCGGCGCTGAAATCCTAAAAATTATGTTTTGGCACAATTCGGGATTTCCACACAGGTGCCCCCGACGGGGCACTTCCCTCAGTGGGAATAGACCTTTGAAGGGGCATATGAAGAGGGAGTTTGGCGGGAGAGTGCATTCCAACATCGTTGATGAGGTATTGGGTTTACTCTGGCCTTCCTCCTCCTCCTCCTCCATCCTCCCACTCTTGGGGTATGACATCTTATCCAGCCCGCTGCTCCACTGCATGTTCCTCCACATCCCTGATCAGGGTAACTGGTCTGGGCATCGTTTCTGGATGGGGTGGTGACATTATTTTTTGTTCACAGCCGCCGGCGGAAGCGCCAGCGGCGGGAGGCCGCGGGCGGGCTACGGCCGCGACTAAATTGCCTAACGCGCGCGGGGCCGCGGATCAGGCGGCGGGGGGCGGCAGCGCCCAGGGCGGCAGAGCCGACGTGCAATCCAGGGAGTCTGAAACAGCCCCTGGACGGGCATGCAACGGTGCATCCAACGAGCCTGAGGACAGGCACCGAGGAGACCAAGCGCAGCCAAAATTGCGCGTGAGGCGTTCCCAAAGTCCAGGTGCGAACAGAAAGGAACGTTCCCGAGGACATCGATCCAGGAAGCCTGACAGGTAGTACAGACTGACTGGGGACAGAAGTCCAGCGGAAAATCCCGACGGCGACACCAAGTCGCGACGCCAGAACGCGCATCCAGGGTGTGGAGCATGCTGACAGGAGAACCTTCCACAACTGAGATGCGTCAGCCCAGATCCAACGAGTGGAAGGGCGCCGTAGTGCACGATACACGGTCGACAACGTGGCGTGTGCACATCCAAAGTGTCTCAGTGCTACCCAAAACGAGTCGGATAGCACCCGAGGGACGAGACATCGTATACCCAAGGCGCATCCCTCAGAGCCACTTCGATCCAGGGTCACGGCGGAAGGCCGTTCAGCATGTAAGAGTTCCCGAGGACATCGATCCAGGGAGTATGACGGGTAACACAGACTGACTGGGGACATAAGTCCAGCGGGGGAAAAAAAAAACTGACGGCGAATCCGAGTCGCGACGCAAGAACGCGCATCCAGGGTGTGGAGCATGATGACAGGTCCAGGGGTGGTGGCATTACGCGAAGCGTCCAGGATATCCGAATAGTGCAGCAGAGGAAACGCAGGAAGAGGGGTAGGACTAGCAGTTGCACGTGCACAAGCAGCAGGTCGATCAGAAAGACAGTGGAGGAGGATAACGCGGGAGGGACGGATGCGAGGGAAGACCGTTCAACTACTCTCCAGGGTCCCCGAGACAGCCCAGGAAGGCCATGAAGAAGCCCTCAAGAAGCGCCACGGGGCCTCAAGAGGCTGCCAATACATCAAAGGGAAGGCCAGGAGCCTCCCCAAAAAGGCCAACATCGTTCAAACAGCTGGGGAAACCCTTGGGTAGTTTCATACGTTGCGTTCCCCGGGCCTCTCGGCCCAAGATGGTCCAATGAGGGCCCCAATGTGGCCCAAGAGGGTTCCAAGGGGATCCCCAGAGGGTCCGAAGAGGCCCAAATCATTGATTACCGCTTGGCTTTGCAAGATTGTCGCGTTCTCCCCGTGTTCAAGTCTCCGTCAGCCAAAGATAATCCGAGGGGCCTCCAAAATGGCCCAACGACGGCCCAAGAGACTCCCATGACTGCCCTAAACGCCCCCGAGATGGCCGCAAGACGCCCAAAGAAGCCCCCGAGACTGACTCCGAGAGGTCCAGACGACTCAAGAGCGCCCTAAGCGGCCTAAGGAACGCCCCCAGCAGGCCCCGAGGGGCCCTAAGACGCCCTCAAGAGGCCCCGAAGACCCCCAGGAGGCCCCGAGAGGGGAGGAGGAAAGAAAAGGAAGGGAGGAAAACAACGACAGAGACATGAAGAGACACCCCGACAAGACGCGCAGGATCGACCCAACCTGCTGCGCTAACAGTGGCGGAAATGGCCGAAGACAGCTTGACACACTTTGTTGGGTCGGCGGCTGGGCAGAGGGAGGGTGACTGCGCTGGCGATAAAGGCATGAGCGGGGATTCCTTTGGAGCGAAGTGTGCCACCATGCAAGAGAGGAGGGAGGAGGGACGCAGCCGAAAGTAAACGAGGACGGGGCGGGCGGCTCAGGGGCCATACCGCTCCCCGAGCCACGAGGCAGCTGGACACACGGTGGTACAAACTTGGTCCAAAGACTGTGAAATGCCGTGGGCACTGATAAAGCATGCAATCGTTGTCATTGTTACGACACGATGTGTGCGAAGCGGATGTTATTTGATAAATATGCATTCGCGCATCTGAGAATCGTGACCAACTCTCACACGATGATGGCATCAGCATCATTATCACATTGAAGCAAGACATGTGTATATGCTGTCTCCGCACTGCTGGAAGCACCTCCCCTTCACCTCATCTTCGTCGTCCTGCTCATCCCCTCCCTCTCTCCCTCCCCCCCTCCACTGGTAGGTAGCCGGAGTGGAGAGATGGGGGAATATAGTCGCTGACCTCCTTTCACTTCTGGCCTCCACTGCCGCACAGCATGCCTATTAGCATGCGAGTGAGAACTGGCGCAGCGGGTCCTCTCAGGTGCATGCCGTCGACGCTGACGTTGCCAGCGAGCTTGGAGGTGTTGTAGGCGTCGAGGGTACGAAACCCAACCGAGCCCAGGAGCCGCTGCGCTAACGTGTTCAGGCGCTCCATGCGTGGGGGGAAGACGTAGCTCTGCCTCATGCCGTGCGGATACACCCCCGAGATCCGCCACCGCGCTTGACTGCGGCTGGTATGCGCGCGCGTGCCAGGTTAGATTGCTTGCTGCCTTGTCCGTCCCATGCAGGGTAAAAGGCCAGGCCCAACGCATCGAATACAACATGCACAAACACATTTGCTCCAATTCTCGCTCATGGCCTCAACACCGGAAACATGAAGCATACAGGAAAGTCTACGGCGGCGCGGAAAGTATGTGCCCCTTCCCTCAACCCCACAAGCGCCCCCAGCCCGAACACTCCACAGCGAGGCGGTGGATCGGATAGGCACGGCAGCGCAGTTGGATGAAGATGCGCTGCTGAGGCTTCGGCAAAGCTCGCATCGCATGCACGAATTGCTGCAGCCGACGCTCGATGGCGCAGTCAGAGTCAAACCACAGCTGCCATACTGCATTGACGTTTGTGACTAACAGCTGCGCGTCGAGCGAGTCGTTAAAGCCACTAGGAGATGCTCGCCGTTCAGAATTGTACCAAAACGCACGAGCAATATCGAAAAAGGTATAGAACCATATGAATTCGACATGCACATCGATTCCGTCTGGGCGTCGCCACCAGAAACTGTCAGCATGAATGCGCTTCGCCTCGAAATTATCTTCTAGGTACGACCCAAGACCGTTGAACTGCTCGCGGACCAGCGAGTCCCCTGCCATCACAATCTTGGTGATGCCCTGGCGCTGCCAGCAGCGCCCCACCTCGTCTCGCGTGTACCGTGGAAGCTCGCCCGCCTCGGGCTCCCAGTCGGCCGTCAAGTTGGGGGCCTGACCGCCGAAGCGCCACCGCCCGGGGCCCTGGACGTAACCGCACGCGCCCGGCGCGCAGGGCGCCGCCCGACCCCGCAGCTCGGCGGCCGCCGCGGGCCGAGGCGTGCCCAGGGCCATGGGGCTTCCCCAGACGTGGGACTCCGCGTGGCGCAGCACGTCCTTGATGGGGGCCTGCAGAATGCTCCAGCCGCCGAGGTACCTCCACTGGTCCGAATCGCTCCGCGGCACGCCCGACGTGCAGTTCCCCGGCACCATCCTGCTGCCTGCCTCCAGCAGCGTGCACACGGCGCCCTGCAGGCTCCAAGCGTAGCAGCGCTCGTCGCTCGAGCAGAGGTCGCAGCAGAACTCCGGCGGGTGACCTGCCGAGGACAGGTTCACCTCCTCACGGCCTGCCTGGAAGCTCCCCTGCCGCTGCACCAACCGCCTCCCGGCCAAACACCAGCCCTTACCGTTGCCGGCGTTGCCGACGCAACTGCCGTAGGCTGGCTCGACGGTTGCGTTCACCCACAGGACGCGCACGTGCAAATCGTAGGCGCGGGCCTCCCGCGGCGAGAAGGAGACACGCCAAGCGCACTCCGCGGGCACAGCCTCCACGTCCGCGCGCTCCACGAGCTGCTCGTCGAGCTGGTCGCCATCGGCGATGAGCGCAGCCCACAGGGTCAGGGATTCGGCAAGCGAGGGGCACGGCGTGCTGCTGCTCGGGGCGCCCTCAAACTGGGCGCGCACCCGAAGCGAGGTGGGGCGGCCAGCCTGGAAAGGCCCGGCACCAGCGGCATGCGGCTCCAGCACAAGCCGCAGCCCCAGCTGCTCCAGCAGAAACGCCCGAGCACTGCGCGACGCGGCGCCAGAGAGGTTTCTGCGCGGGGCGTCCAGCACACGCGTTGGGAGGCTCGGGCTCGAACAGCTGGACGTAGTTCCAAACCAAAGCCTGCTCTGTTCAACAGTCTTACCCGACAACCTTCGCGCCAGAATAGCGATGTCCCCCACAATCAGGAGGCCGAGTACGATAATAGCCGCGACCCGGAAGCTCATGGTCTGACACCACGGGAACCAGACGTGGAAGCCATCTCCAAGGTACAAGAAACGCTTCCACAAGACGTTCTGGTGAGCGCAACACCACCCACTCTTGAAGAGAGCATGCATCTGGACTTCACGAGTGAATGTTCGGCTGGTACAGCCTGCGCCAAAACAATTACGGAAAAACGGCCCCATGGCAGGTCCAACGCGGACCCAGGGCCGCCCTCAAAACGGCCACAAGGTGTCTCGCCTGCACAACCTCTGGAGCAATTCACAAATAAATTAAATCGACCCAGCTAGAGACCTTACCTCGGCCATCGAAAAACAACACGCACAAGCGAGTTCTAGAGTTTCTGCCGTGACGCACTTCTTATCTCAGGATGCCATGCAGTGGCATCACAAGGTCGGAAAGCGGCCGCAAGGTTCCCTCGAGACCACTCCACGTATGGAAGACCCCCCAACCTCTCAAAAGAGGCCCACGAGACAGGGACACGACGCTGACAGTCGGCCCGAAGACGGTCGACGACAGCCCAAGATGGCCCTGCGGGACGACGGCCAGAAACTGCACAGTCGAGCAGGACTCCCTTCCCCCGCCACCCCTTTTCCCAGAACAGGACCTTTCCCCGGGCCACCTCCTGGACACCAGTCAGAGATCAAAGCACGGCCTAAGCAAACGCCAACACGAGCCCAGGACGGCCCAAGACAGCACAGGACAGCCGAAAGCGATGGTCGACGCCCGCAACGGTCTCCAAGATGGCTGACTCCCTCCTCGACTGAGACTGGCCCAAGAGAGCGCACGGAGTCCCAAGAGAACCCACGAAACAGCCCAAGAAAGCCCGAGACGATCCCAGAACGGCCGAAGACAAGCCCAGGGCAGCCTCAAGAGAATCACCAGAGGCGGCCCGATAGCTTTTGTTTTTGATATGGCTCCACCACCACGTGACCACTTGACTGTAAGGCCACGTGCGCCGGATCCACCGTAAGCCCGCCGAAGACGCTGAAACGAAGGCGTCTAGCGTTGAGATCTTTCCCAAGCAGCACACTGTTCGGAATCCGCTTTCCCTCATGGGGGCTATTCGAACAGAGGCGGCCCGATCAGGTCCCAAGACGTACGGGCCCGATGCTGGCACATTGCTTCAGGACGGCCAGGGAGAGCGGAAGAGGGACAGAGAGGGCCCCAATGCGGCCTCTGGAAGCCCCAATAGGACACCGAAAAGACCCGAGAAGCTCCCAAGCCCCCCTCAGGATCCTGAAATAACCACATTTGACGCTGACTGGATGCACTGTAGCCGCCCAGCCGTGTTGCCGCGAGACGGTGGGCAACAGTTTCCGTACCCCCGTCTACTCCCTAAGTGGCGGAGAAGAAACGTAGCACTCTCTCGACGGCAGCTCCTCTGCGTTCGTTGCGCTTAGCTGGAATTCCCACCAGGCGGGCGTGAGTGGTCTAACGAGCTCGTTCTGCTAATCCCACCAGCCCTCTGGGCGTCGGTGGTTTAGAGCGTTTCCTCTTCCACCCCTCCTTCTTCCCCTTCGGGGAGGGGTTTACCCCTCCCCCTACCCCCTCCCCACTGACCTTGACAGGGGGGGCGGGGAGCGGTCAGAGCGTCCAACACGGCCTCGCCGAGGAAGCCAAAATCATTGATTTTACTAAGGTGTTGGCCCCATTTTGGCCCCCAGAGGGGGCAGCACTAATTGAAGCGCCCCTCTTCTTTGATCGATTTCCTCCAAGATGGCCCCAAGAAGCGCCCAGGAGGCACCAAGAGGCCCCAAGATGGCCCCAAGGTGGCCCCAAGAGGCCCCCAAGAGGCCCCCAAGAGGATCCCAAACGGCCCAAAGAGGCCCCCCCGAGGCACCCAAGACGCCGAAAAGCCCCTCAGGACGACCCTCTACTCGTCTGGGCGTCGTTTCTGGACGGGCTGGTGGGGATACGCGAAGCGTCTAGAATTCCCTTCTTCCCCTCGGGGGGGGGGAGTCCCCTCCCTCTAACCCTTCCACCTGCGTCTGGAAACCTGCCCCCGCGAGGTGTCAGAGGGTCCGTTTTGGCCACAGGTGGCTCTAAGAGGGCCCCAGAAAGCCCAAGATGGCCTCCAAGATCGCTCAAGATATTCCAAGATTGTTCAAGATACCCTTCAACGTGTTTCCAAGAGCCCTCAAGATCGCCTAAGGACGACCCCAAGTGCCCTCTGAGCCTCCCAAGGAAGCCCCCAGGAGGCCGAGTCCTTCAAACCCAATGTGTTGTGCAACTGTTGTTTGCCGTATCGCCTTTTCGCTTCCGATGGGCTCTTGAGGCCTCAAGATGGTCCCAAGAGGGGCCCAAGACGGCCCAACGAGCTCCCAAGACCGCCCCAAGAGCGCCCCAAGAGGGCCCCAAGAGGCCAACCGTCAGGCCCAGAAGGGGGGGGCAGTACTTGAGCGTCCACTTCTTTGCTCGATGGTCCCCAATATAGCTCCGAGAGGGGCCCCCATGGCCTCCAAGCGGGCCCCAAGAGAGCCCCAAGTGAGCCCAGCCCTGAGAGGGCCCAAGAGGCCTCCAAGATGGCCACGAGAAAGCCCCACGATGGCCCCAAGAGGCCTCCAAGACGCTCCCAGAGCGAAAGGTCGCCAAGGTCTTCATATTGACTCCGGTCGTAATCGTCCTCGTCGTCGTCGCTGTCGTCGGCGGCGGCGGCGGCCCTGGGCGCGCACGACGTATTACAGGCACCGCAAGCAACGACGAAAAAACACTCAACCAGGACAACCACGATTAGCCGCGAAGCGCGCGCAACGGTGCGGACCCCACTCATCAAACGCACAGAGAGCCTGTGGCGTATGTCGTTGAGTGGTTGCCTGTCGTCGCTCCCTGAATGGATCCCCCTCTTCGTCGTAGTCAATTCGTCGTAGTCGTAGTCGTAGACCTAGTCGTCAGCATCGTCGTCTTCGTCGTTCCTGGTCAGGGCAACTCGCCTCGTGTCTGTTTTTGGGTGGGCTGGTGGGGGTACGAGAAACGTCAAGAATTGTCTGATTGTCTGTGGCCCCCGATCCCGGTCATCGGTGCGTCCCATTCGGCGCTTTGCCCGCCCCAGCGCTGGGAAGGGGTAAAGAGGAAAAGGGGAGGCGAAGGGGGAGGTGAAGGCGGAGCAGGGGAGCGCGGGATGAGGGAAGAAGAAGGAGGGGGGAAGGTCAGTCAGTCAGTCAAGCCCGGCGCTCCAACGGCGCATTTGCAGATAAAAAGTTACAGCGCAGTACAGAAGTTGCTATGCGCCAGCCTTTGACACGGCGCTCGGGCACCACTGCCGCCACTGAGCCGGGTTTCCGGCAAGGCGCGCGGGCAGAAGAGTGCACAATTGGCATCCCTTCGACTACGGCGCAAGCGAAAGACAGAACACCCGACTGTGAAGCGGAGGGGGGAAGGGGACGGCACTAAATCGATGCTGACACTCGCCATGGATGCCAGCGACGGAATCGGCATGGAGCGCACCAACTTGAGCGCTGGACAACGGTGTCTGACCGAAGAAGACTACGCGGGACGGCTGCCCGCCAGCTGCGAATCGCTCACAGACGGCCCTCATCGCAATGCTCCCACTTGGCCCTAGCTACCACAGCGCCCAGAATCAGGCGAGTTGGATCAATCGCGTCTGCATCCCACAAGGGCGCGCTGCATGAGCCAATCAGTTTCGCCAAGGATACGGGCCCAGCCGTCGACTGCAAGCGATGCATTACAAGCGCTCAAATGATTCCATCTCCTACCTTCTCGAACCACGAGCGCAGCTTGAACGCACCGACACGGCCGCACGACACTGGTGGGACTACCTGGGCCTAGCGAGAGTGCTGAGCACGGTGCATGCGTCTACCCTATGGCCATAATCGGTGGGATTCCAAATCCAACGGGTGCTAACGGCTGGTGGCGCGCAGGACGTCAAGAAGTATTGCGCAAAATCTGCTCAGCCAGGTTTTGCAAACCGCAGGCGCGACCCACTTCGCAGCCACGGAGAAAATCATACCTGCAGTCTACGACGCACTAGTCAAAGAACGCATGGATGCACTAAGAGCCAACAACCACGCAAAACCTGAACAACGCGCTACTCCTACGAGTAACCGAGCACATCAACCGTGTACGCCACAGGGCGCAACACGAACGCGAACGTCAACAAAGCTGGACTGCAGAAACCGCGAACAGAGGCGAAGATCAAGAGGACTGGCGGACATCCCGACTTCTTGCTGCGAGTGACACGGGCGCGAGGCGACACGCAGAACGCGTTCGCGTCGGTCCACAACCAACCTCTGGACGAGGCCACGGAGCGGGTCAACCGCCACGACGCTCACGACATCCTGAAGAAGAGGTGCCGCGCAGGCTGCTTACTGGTGGACGTTTCAGACGGCAATTGCGCGTTCAAGAATCACGACGGCTGCTACATAGGCAATGACAACGCCGCGACGCTGTACCACGCTGAGCACCAGGAACATATCGCGCAATGGCCGACTCAGCTGAAGACGGACCGTCCACGTGAACTACATACAGGCCCAGGGCCTGGTCACGAAAGACTGCATTCATCTCTCCCTACGGGTCTAGGCCGTCAACTAGACTCGCAAAGTCCACTACCGCGACGGAATGGCCGCATGCACCTGCAAGTCCGACGCAAAACTTGACATTGAGCTTGACAACGTCTACGCCTCGCAGAGTACAGACAAGAAAGGTATCACCTCACGCTAGGACGATTCACGCGCGCGATCTTCAACAAGCAGGCGGGCGCAAAATCAGGCTGCAAGCTCCACTTATCCCTGCTCCTGGGCACGAGCTTCCATGACGGGATCTACGCGAGAGGTGAGTGGCCGTGTAGAAGGGCTGGGGGCAAAAGCGGTAGTTCCTGGCAGACACGTGTCTCAAATACCCTCAAACGCAGAGTCTTTCTCAGCATCGTCATCGCGTCGGCCTTCTCTAGCATCCCCCTCGCTAGTCCTGACGAACGCGTAGACGGACCGCCTGGACGTGGAGCGCATGAAGTTTGACAGGCTCATCCTTGGGAGCTGTGAAGCGCACACACGCCGACGGAGTAACGAGATATGCATGCCGTCCCGTCGCAGGACAAGATCTGGCAATTGCTCCGACTCCCACCAATATGGCTGGAACTGAGTGTACTACAGCTTTACGGGTGGCAACTCGCGGCACGCAATCCTGCACTGCACACACAACAGCTGGCGGCCGCGTTCGGAATCATAAGTTCGGAATCTTGAGTTCCGAAAAGCCGAAAGTCTCGACCTTGGGAT